TCTAGTGGTGCAATCAGGGTTTTGTTTGTGCAATAGGGTTTATAAAGGGGTACTTTGAGGGGCAAAAAGAAAGGAGGGTTTTACTATAGAACCCTATGGGATTTTATTTTTTTAAATTTTCAAATGATTATAAATTGAAAACCGTTTGCGATAGACACAATCTTTTTAATTGAAAATGTTCTAAATGATAAAGCACATTAAATGAAATGCAGTCCCCAGGGGTCACCCCACCCCCTGCCATTTAAGAAAGTTCTTAATATCTTGTAAGTGGTCAATATCCCCACCCCTAAACCATATATATTCTGGTTTGTCATGCTAAGATGGTTTGAATGATATACAGGGTTAGTCCCCAGGGGTCATCCCAACCCCCTGCCATTTGAGAAAGTTCTAATATCTTGTAAATGGTCGAGATCCCCACCCCTAAACCATATAGATTCTGGTTTGTCATGATAAAGCACATCAAATGAAATACAGGGTTAGTCCCCAGGGGTCACCCCCACCCCCTGCCATTTAAGAAAGTTCTAATATCGTGTAAGTGGTCAAGATCCCCACCCCTAAACCATATATATTCTGGTTTGTCATGCTAAGATGGTTTGAATGATATACAGGGTTAGTCCCCAGGGGTCATCCCGACCCCCTGCCATTTGAGAAAGTTCTAATATCTTCTAAATGGTCGAGATCCTCACCCCTAAACCATATATATTCTGGTTTGTCATGCCAAGATGATTTGAATGATATACAGGGTTAGTCCCCAGGGGTCATCTTGATCCCCTGCCATTTGAGAAAGTTCTAATATCTTGTAAATGGTCGAGATCCCCACCCCTAAACCATATAGATTCTGGTTTGTTATGATAAAGCACATCAAATGAAATACAGGGTTAGTAACCAGGGGTCACCCCCACCCCCTGCCATTTAAGAAAGTTCTTATATCTTGTAAGTGGTCAAGATCCCCACCCCTAAACCATATATATTCTGGTTTTTCATGCTAAGATGGTTTGAATGATATACAGGGTTAGTCCCCAGGGGTCACCCCCACCCCTGCCATTTAAGAAAGTTCTAATATCTTCTAAGTGGTCAAGATCCCCACCCCTAAACCAAATATATTCCTGTTCGTCATGTCTCGAACATTTGAATGACGTATAGGGTCAGTCCCCAGGGGTTCTCCCCACCACCAATGTTCTAGTATCTTGTAAATGATCGAGATCCCCACCCCTAAACCATATATATTCTGGTTTGTCATGCCAAGATGATTTGAATTATATACAGGGTTAGTCCCCAGGCATCACTAATGCATATAACTTTACTGAACCAAACCAATTTTCACTGGACTTTGCCCAATGTCAGGCTACCCTGGGAATTATGAATTATGGGAGCTTCGTTTGGGAGACTTCGTAACAGCATCCTGTTACAATCATTTCTTGTTTTTACTTGATCCTGTTTGGGGGTCCAGATTTGCAAATATCAGTTTCATTAGATAATAATCTATTTTTATTAAAGGATATATTTCATTACATTACATTGTGTAGATAAAGTTGTTGACATTGATAGATAAGTTGCAGATATTAGTTTGTGACAAATGAAAGAAAAAATGTTGGGAACTATTAATTATATATATAAAGTTTGATTACACTAAGTGTTTTTAAGATAACAAACGTGTGGTAATTATCAATCACAATTATAATTGGAGTGACAGATTTTTTGAAAATTTTGTGTTTCCTAAGTGTTGTTGATGATAAGCTCTGTAGGACAGTATAAATATAGTTTGAAATTTAGTGTTCATTATTAGACATTTTGAAGATAATGACAGATAAGTTTTAAAGATCTTTAAAAGACATTGTATTAAGATATTTTGAAAAAAAAAATTTTCTTTTTTGGTAAATTGTTTGAAGAATTTTGTGGTAGGTTTGTTTTGTTATTCTGTATAAACTAATTTTCTGAATGCTATATATTTTTTTTTTTACTTGATCCTGTTTGGGGTCCAGATTTGCAAATATCATTTTCATGCAGGAAAATTGGTTTGCTGTCACTCTGACAGCCTCTTGTTTTATTTTAGTTTGATAGATTAAAAGCACTTTCTACACATTTGTAACATTCTATGACAAACTGTTGAGTGCTCCGATTGCATCAAAACTCTTGTTTATCTAGGTTAAGCAAGATGTCCAGAATTCATTCCTGGCATCAAAATCTATTAGACTGCAGCCATTTTCAAAATGGGCAGTTAAATCTGAAAACATTCAAAGTGCACCCATTGAACGAAATTTGATACCTATGTAGAATATAATCTGTAAAGATTTTTGGGGTAAAAAAAATTCTGGCGGCACCCATTTTCAAAATATATGATGACAAACACTTTTATAATGGCATGGTTTTAATATTAATAATAAGAATTCAATATAGAAAATATGTATTATGTTAGGCACTAAATTTCATGTTTTGCTTGTAACTTAAAATTGATACCTCAGGAAAGTACAGTGCTTTTTTCATCAATATTGATAATGTTAACTAATATATTCAGAAATTATTGCATCATTTATTATTGCAATTTTTGAAGAATGTACAGACATGCAAGATCAATTATTGCAATTTCAGGAAAATCTGAATACAGATATATGTTATATGTATCATATATCAGAATGTGAGATCTTATTATTGGGATACTTACCCAGTCCCATTATTAGCAATAATAAAAAATAATTTATGAATTTACAGTTGATTTCAAAATGGTGAAATACATGTAGGTGGTTTCAGCAAGACAGCCTTTTTATACGACCGCAAAAAAATTTTGCGGTCGTATATTGGTATGACGTTGGCGTCGTTGTCGTCGTCTGGTGTCATCCCAAGACACATTGGTTTTCGCACTCTAACTTTAGTTTAAGTGAATGGATCTCTATGAAATTTTACCATAAGGTTCAATACCACAAAAGGAAGGTTGGGATTGATTTTGGGGGTTATGGTACCAACAGTTAAGGAATTAGGGGCCAAAAATAAGCATTTTTGTAACTTCCAGACATAACTTGTGTGTTAGTGTATGGATCTCTCTGACATTGTACCACAAGGTTCCATATCACACAGGGAATGCTGGGATTAATTTTGGGGGTAATTGCCTCAAAATATTAGGAATAAGGGGCCAAAAAAGGGACAAAAAACAAGCATTTTTCTAGTTTCATGACAATAACTTGTGTGTAAGTGTATGGATCTTTCCGAAATTGTACTACAAGGTTCCATATCACAAAGGGAAAGCTGGAATTGTGTTTGGGGGTAATTGCCCAAAACGTTTAGGAATTAGGGGCCAAAAAGGGGCCAAAAATAAGCATTTCTCTAGTTTCCAGACAATAACTTGTGTTCAAGTGTATGGATCTCTCTGAAATTGTACCACAAGGTTCCATATCACACAGGGAATGCTGGGATTGATTTTGGGGGTAATTGCCTCAAAATATTAGGAATTAGGGGCCCAAAAAGGGGCAAAAAACAAGCATTTTTGTCGAGCCTGCGCAGGGCCTAATCTAGGATTTTGAAGAGGGAGAAGTGACTTCTCCTTCCATGAGAGAGAAGGGAGAAGTGTTCAACTTCTTGGAGAAGCGAGATTCCATTACCGTTTCGGTTGCATCATGTTTTCAAGCTTATCACTAAGGAAATTGTTTTATATTCAATAAAAGATGTACTTGCAGTTTTTTCATATGTTATTGTACACAATGTATATATAGAAATTTCTTAATAAAAAGGTTTAGACAATATATAGTTGTTATTTATTTATTGATACCATAATGTGTTCTAAATAAAATTTGTTGATTGGGACATGAGGGAGTAGCCTAGTAATATTATCAAGATTATGATGCATTAAATTCATGTGCATCTGCCTCAATTTATTTTTAAAACTCCAGAAAAATATGATGAATTTCACATGACTGGGAATTTAATTTATATCACCACTTGTCATTGTTTTGTAAAACATTATTGAATGTCCAGGACATTTATGTTAGTTGTAGTAAATTGAGATTATCGTTAAAGATTGTGAGTCTATAAATGAAAATATCTTTCAATCTCCAGTTAATTATGCAATAAAGAGCTAATTTCTATCATTTTTTAAAAATATCATCCATATCAACGAAGTGGTCATGAGAAAAAATCTACTGCTGATCACAAATTATCTGGTCGAGTGTCGTACGTTTGCAATCACATTATCCATCAGCTGTCTTTCTACCTTTTATATTTCAATTTTTATTCAATGAATGTAAAATACCTACCGTTAATTCCCACCCTTTACCTACGGAATAATGAAATTGATCGACTCGTGTAGGTAATAAAAATAAAACAAATCAGCTGAGTGATTACGCAACATCCTCAGATGAAATCATCGTAAAACGATAACTTAAACAGACGGTCAGTTTTCCGTTTGAACAGTTTTGAAAGTTATATCCGATGATGTTCAAAGTCGCCGTTGTATTTATTTAATTTGATCGTTTACAGTATTAGGCCTGGGTCGTTTCGAAAATCTCGATTTTCCTTGTCAGTCGCCATTTTTTTTTACCTGTGAGACTGGTAATCACAAGTTGTCTCCCTTTTACCGATTTTGATAGCGATTTGACTTCGCTATGAAGTCAGTCGGCCGGCGAGATTTAGCGATTTTCAAAATTCTTTGGCGACTTAAATCGTCATTTCGCCGGCAAGATTATGGCCTGAGCCTGCGACTTTTGTCGCAGAAAGCTCGACATAGGGATAGTGATCCGGCGGCGGCGGCGTTAGCTCACTTCTTAAAAGCTTTATATTTTAGAGGGTGGAAGACCTGGATGCTTCATACTTTGTATATGGATGCCTCATGTTACGAAGTTTCCGTCAGTCACATGTCCAATGTCCTTGACCTCATTTTCATGGTTCAGTGACTACTTGAAAAAAAAGTTAAGATTTTTTGTAATGTTAAATTCTCTCTTATTATAAGTAATAGGATAACTATATTTGGTATGTGCGTACCTTGCAAGGTCCTCATGCCCGTCAGACGTTTTCACTTGACCTCGACTTCATTTCATGGATCAGTGAACAAGGTTAAGTTTTGGTGGTCAAGTCCATATCTCAGATACTATAAGCAATAGGTCTAGTATATTCGGTGTATGGAAGGACTGTAAGGTGTACATGTCCAACTGGCAGGTGTCATCTGACCTTGACCTCATTTTCATGGTTCAGTGGTTATAGTTAAGTTTTTGTGTTTTGGTCTGTTTTTCTTATACTGTATGCAATAGGTCTACTATATTTGGTGTATGGAAGGATTGTAAGGTGTACATGTCTAGCTGGCAGGTGTCATCCGACCTTGACCTCATTTTCATGGTTCAGTGGTTATAGTTGAGTTTTTGTGTTTTGGTCTGTTTTTCTTATACTGTATGCAATAGGTCTACAATATTTGGTGTATGGAATGATTGTAAGGTGTACATGTCTAGCTGGCAGGTGTCATCTGACCTTGACCTCATTTTCATTGTTCAGTGGTTATAGTTAAATTTTTGTGTTTTGGTCTGTTTTTCTTATACTGTATGCAATAGGTCTACAATATTTGGTGTATGGAATGATTGTAAGGTGTACATGTCTAGCTGGCAGGTGTCATCTGACCTTGACCTCATTTTCATGGTTCAGTGGTCAAAGTTAAGTTTTTGAGATTTGGTCTTTTTTTCTAATACTGCATGCAATAGGTCTACTATATTTGGTGTATGGAATGATTGTAAGGTGTACATGTCTAGCTGGCAGGTGTCATCTGACCTTGACCTCATTTTCATGGTTCAGTGGTCAAAGTTAAGTTTTTGAGATTTGATCTTTTTTTCTAATACTATATGCAATAGTTCAACTACATTTGGTGTATGGAAATATTTTATGATCTATATGTCAGTCACGCAGGTTTTATTTGACCTTGACCTCATTTTCAAGGTTCATTGCTCAGTGTTAAGTTTTTGTGTTTTGGTCTGTTTTTCTTAAACTATAAGCAATAGGTCAACCATATTTGTTGTATGGAAGAATTGTTAGCTGTACATGCCTGCCTAGCATGGTTCATCTGACCTTGACCTCATTTTCATGGTTCATTGGTCAATGTTTAGTTTACTTGGTTAATGTTAAGTTTATGTGACAGTTGTAATAAAGCTTTATATTTAGGACTATCAACATAATATCAATGATTAGTAAAGAAGGCGAGACATTTCAGCGTGTGCACTCTTGTTCTAGTTTCAAGATAATAACTTGTGTGTAAGTGTATGGATCTTTCTGAAATTGTACTACAAGGTTCCATATCACAAAGGGAAAGCTGGAATTGAGTTTGGGGGTAATTGCCCAAAACGTTTAGGAAAAAGGGGCCAAAAATAAGCATTTTTCTAGTTTCCAGACAATAACTTGTGTTCAAGTGTATGGATCTCTCTGAAATTGTACTGCAAGGTACCATACCACAAAGGGAAGGCTGGGATTGAGTTTGGGGGTGATGAATCATAAGGGGGTTCAAAAAATTTGGGGGGGGGGGGATTTTTTTTTTTTTTTTCCTTTTTTTTTTCTTTTAAAATTTTCCATTTTAAGTTGGTTATTTCTGTTTTATATTTAAAAGCAAATAATAATGATATGGTAGGAGATACACACCAATCAGGATGTGTAAATTATTATATAATAAGTATTGTGCAATAGCAAGAAATTTTCAATTGCACAGTATTGCACAATAGCAAGAAATCTTCAATTGCACAGTATTGCGCAATAGCAAGAAATCTTCAATTGCACAGTATTGCGCAATAGTAAGAAATATCCAATAGCACAATATTGCGCAATAGCAAGAAATTGTCAATTGTACAGTATTGCGCAATAGCAAGAAATATTCAATTGCACAGTATTGTGCAAAAGAAGATACTTCGTATAAATTGCTTATTTCTTGACCAATTTCAATGGGGTTTTATTCTTGAATTCTCGGGGTTCTTTAATATGCTGATTCTAACCGTGTATTAAGTTTTTGGATTTTGGGCCAAGTTTTTAAATTGGTCCACATTGAGGTCCAAAGGGTCCAAAATTAAACGTTGTTTGATTTCATCAAAAATTGAATTATTGGGGTTCTTTGATATGCTGAATCTAACTGTGTATTTAGATTCTTAATTTTTGTTCTGTTTTCAAATTGGTCTACATTAAGGTCCAAAGGGTCCAAAATTAAACTTAGTTTGATTTTAACAAAAAGTGAATTTTTAGGGTTCTTTGATATGCTGAATCTAAACATGTATTTAGATTTTTGATTATGGGCCCATTTTTCAAGTTGGTCCAAATCGGGGTCCAAATTAAAGTTTGTTTGATTTCAACAAAAAATGAATATATGGGGTTCTTTGATATGCTGAATCTAACCATGTATTTAGATTTTTGATTTTTGGGCCCCATTATCAACTTTGTCCACATTGAGGTCAAAAGGGTCCTAAATTAAACTTTGTTTGATTTCATCAAAAATTGAATTCTTGGGGTTCTTTGATATGCTGAATCTAACCATTTATTTAGATTTTGGATATTGGACCATAATAGGTGAATGTCCAATTTAAAATTTTTAAGTTCTTAGACCACATTCATTCTGTGTCAGAAACCTATGCTGTGTCAAATATTTAATCACAATCCAAATGCAAAGCTGTATCAAGCTTGAATGTTGTGTCCATACTTGCCCCAACTGTTCAGGGTTCGACCTCTGCGATCGTATCAAGCTGCGCCCTGCGAGCATTTTATTCAGTTTTAAGCATGAATCTTAAAATCTTTAGCTTGGTTTTTATTTATATTTTTTAACATATCTGACTATATACCATACACATTATAAAATGCACAAATCAAGGTCAATTTACCTTTTCTCTGTCAGTGTTTAATATTCGAGAAGCCTCTGTCGGTTGTGCTAATCTTTTAACTTGTCATAATTTCAGTGATAAAGAGTTTTGGAGAATCAACTTGCCATCTAGCCTTGCAGCAGGGAAATCTGTACAAGTAGATGTTGATAGTGTTTATGCCCATGCTCTGTCTCCGTTCCCAACTAAGATTAAACAGTCTGAGAAACAATTAGTAGTGTTTACTGGCAATGTATTCCTCTATTCACCATACAAGATAACCAGTCAGACTACCACAGTTAACTTGGCCACATCATCTATAGAATCCTACAGCAAATCACCAAAACCTGTCTCACAGAGTGAAAAAAGTATAACATATGGACCTTATGAAGCCAGGGAGCCATTTACAGAGGTTAGTTTGAGAAACATCTTGTTTTTATGCCTGGCTTACAATACTATAGGGGGCATTATGTTTTCTAGTATTTGTGGCTGTCAACCTGTTTTCCTTCCATCCCGTAAATAACAATAAAAAATTTGTTTGAAGGCATTAGTAGGTTAAAGTTTACAATGCAGTTGTGGTGGCATCAACTTTAAACTTATTACTAATATAAAAATAACGTGGTATGATTACCAGTTAGACAACTCGTCACCAGAGACTAAATGACCAATAAGTTAACAACTATAGGTCACCACACAGCCTTCAATGGTTGAAAATTTATACAGCATATAGTTACCTATAAAAGGTCCTGAATTGACAAATGTAAAACAATTTAAACGAGAAAACTAACGGCCTGATTAATGTACAAAACAATGAAGAAAAACAAATATGATATACAGCAACAATTGACAACCATGGAATTACAGGGTCCTGACAGGTGCATACAAAATGTGGTGGGGTTACATGTTCATTATGATGTGAACTTTTTGAATAGATGCCAAATTAGGATATTGAACCCGATTTTGTTGTTCACTGAATATTGAAATGTGATTGTGCAAGTTGGGCATGTTGTCCTAAGGACTCAAATCCTTGTTTTAGTATAATGTGTGCAGTCAGATATGTGCAATTGTTAATGTATGTTAAGGACATTCAAAAGAAAAGAAATTATACATACGTTTGATAAAATTTTGCATTTTATACAAAAGTTCATCTTGTGCATAAAACAGATGTTTTATAGGCAATGAATTGCCCACAAATGGCTTACTCTAAATACCTGAAATTTATCAAGAAGGTAGGAGTTGCTGTAATATTTACATAATTTGAATTGTTGCAAAAAATGCATCAGTCACATACAGTCACATACACATTACAGAGTATTAAAGCATAGAATTTAAAGCAAAAGATCACAAATTCACGAAAGATAATAAAACTTACAAGATGCACATTCCCAGCAGATAAATATATACAAATGGAAAGTGAAAGTAAGTTTTCTGAAAGACAAGTCATGACTATGAATTTAAAATAACTATTATGTAAGATCAACAACCATTGACTTAAGATATTTAAAGTAATTATAAGTAAATTTGAATGTTTACGTTTTAAAGGCTGAGTTGAGAGTTCATGCAGAGAACAATAATCCATTCTTGACAGTCACACATTTAGAACGTGTGATTGAATTGTCTCACTGGGGAAACATAGCTGTGGAGGAGAACATACAGATGAGACATTCTGGAGCTGACCTCAATGGACCTTTCTCTAGATATGATTATCAAAGGACACAAGATGCTGGAGCATCTATTAAATCGTTCAAGGTAGGAACAGTTTAAAGATAATGAAATTGTTTAAAATTCAAGTACGACTTGTTATAACATTTAGTTATTGAGGTATGTATTTCTTGGATTCATCAGTGATGATATGTGTTTGTCAAACTTGTATGATATTGTTTATCATAAATTGTAAATATCAATTGGGCACATTTTAAAGTCATTTGGTTTAGTAATTTCTCATGTATGCAGGTAAATATTGCCAATAAACATGACTGAATGTCCAGTTCAAATAATAAATAATTTCAGGTACACTGTCGAAATATATTTCTGTTCATAGACAAAAAATAATACTATTTAAATTTAAGTGACTTGTAGTAATTGAAGTGTATATTGCTGTATGTTAAAAAAGACATGTTGATGGTTGATATAGTTGTAATATTGTTTATATTGTAGACTGTTTTACCAGCATCAGCCAAAGATGTTTACTATAGAGATGAGATTGGAAACATCTCTACCAGTCATCTGAAGGAACTAGACGATATGGTTGAGGTCGAACTCCGTCCAAGATTTCCTCTGTTTGGAGGATGGAAAACTCAGTATTTGTTGGGATACAATGTTCCAAGTTATCAGTATTTATATAATCAAGGTAAGAAGAATTGTAGTGGAGATTGAATAAATCAGTGCTTTTACCTGTTGGTTGGTAAATAGTACGCTAAGTGGACTTTTTGTCCTATGAAAATAATAAATTTCAAATTGTATTTTTGCTTTGATAAACATGGTTGTTAAATATGTGCAAAGTTCAACTGTAAGACCTTTGAAAAATTATTAAGATTTAAACAAACAATGAAAAATTTGCAAATTTTGTCACATATTTGTTGATGGGAAATATTTAGCACAGGCAAGCACCACCAAAATATTTACGTGAAAATTGTTCTTCATAAAGACAAACACTGGTTAATTCTTTAGTGGGTACTTACTTGCGCTCTTTATTCATGGATGAAAAAGACCAAAATATATGTATTTCTCACAAAAATGCATTAGACCTTTTTGTGACGTAACAACAACTTTTATTGTTGGATCATTGTTCGAAAACTTTGTTTCTAATTTTGCATTACCTCAACTTTGAAACAGACATAATGGAAACTTTAAATGATAAGTTTAAACTTGGGTAAAAAAATTAGACCAAATAAAGCCACTATCACACCCAGTCTTTTCTTGCATAAAAGAAAGTTTTTAATTCTTCCAAAAATGTAGAACATGGTAATTATTTATTTCTTCAGGAAACCAGTATGCTTTAAAAATGAGATTTGTTGACCATATATTTGATGATGTTGTTATTGATGAAATGACAGTCAAGATTATTCTACCTGAAGGTGCTAAGTAAGTCATAATGTTTATTCTGTAATGATTTTTATACGACCGCAAAAAAATTTTGTGGTCGTATATTGGTATGACGTTGGCGTCGTCGTCGTCGTCCGAATACATATTGGTTTTCGCACTCTAACTTTAGTTTAAGTGAATGGATCTTTTTGAAATTTGACCATAAGGTTAAATAC